CCCGCCAGTGGTCGAGTAAAACTTCATGCTAATCGGTCGCTGTCGCACCACCGTCTTGTTCAGAGTGTTGATCGCGTTCAAGGCCTCGTCTCGACTGGCAAAGGTGGCGATCGCCCACCCCTTGCTTCGCCCCGTGTCCGCATGCCGCTGGATCTCTACGCCCACCACCGTCCCTGCCTTGGAGAGCAGGCTCACTAGCTCCCCCTCCTCCGTCGTCCAGGCCAGGTTTGTCAGCGTCACCCGGTCCGTCAGGCCGCCCACCGGGCCCCCGTTGCCCACGCCCTCCCCTTCCCCCGCCTCTGCCTGCTGCCGGTCGAACCGGACCTGGATGGGCCTGCCCTCCAACTGATAGCCGTTCAGGTTCGTGATGGCCACTCCCGCCACCTCGGCGTCCGTGAACTTTACCAACGCGAAGCCCCTGCTCCGGCCCGCCATATTCGTCTTCACGTGCACGTCCAGCGGGTTGTACTCCTTGAAGAGCTCCTGCAGCGCCTCGCTCGTAACCGACCACGGCAGATTCCCTACGAAGACCACCACCCCCTCCGCCGAGTCCAGATAGGAGCGATCCTCCCGCACGTGGAGCTTCCTGTTGTCTAGCTCCTGTCCGTTCAAGGCCTCGATGGCCTTGGCGGCGACCTCCGGGGCACTGTAATGGATGAGGCTGGTATGGGGTGGCATAGAGGATGAATGAATGAAGAAGTGATCCTAAGCAAGAGCTGCCTGCTCCGAGTTGGCAGATCTTTTTCAGACTTGTGCATGAAATGGTGCGCAAATGCCCGTGCAGAGAGGACCCACATCCGTCGACCCGGCATGGGCTTCTCAAGCGCGGTGAGAAATCCTTGCTTTTAAAACCTCAGTCCTCTAAATCTTCCCCATGTCCCTCTCGCAGTGCAAATTGATTGACGCCAGGCTCTTCTCCACCCATTTGGCGCATCGGGGTTCTGACAACAGAAGGCCCTCCCCCCGAGCAAGCTATACAACAGCCTCCCTCCCCTCGGCCATCCACTCCACTCCACCCTCGATGGACTCACCCCCATCCCTTTGAGCGGCCAGTGTCGGCATGAGTCTGGATCTGCACGGACAGTACTGGTCCAACCGTGGAGGCCAGGGCTCGCAGGCTCTCCTCCGACGTGCTCCAGGCCAAATTGCCAACAAACACCACGTTCGTCGCCGTCCCTGCAGCTGTGGCATGTAGATAGGTAAGTTACAACATTGAGGGCAAGGAATGTGGTAGCACATCCAGTGGTCAGGATGAAAATCATGGAAGAGCAAATGTCTGCTGCAGCACGCCCCGCCGTGTTCCATGTCTCCCGGTATGGGAGAGAAAGACCAGGATCTCTACCGAGACATGATAAGCTCTATGAACATTGTACTAAACAAGTCCCTTGACATGGTCTACGAGGGCCGCAGCAATATAAAAAAACACTGTCCCCACGACGCTCGCCCTGTCATCTGGAAAGAGCACAAAATCTTGTCCTCCTTCTCCCCAGATAAACACCGCCGAACTTCGATCTCAGATTCAGTTGGCTACTCACCTGCCATATTCAGATCTAGCAGCTTCTCCTCGACTTAGTCGCCACCCTGCTGCGCCTTGTGCGGAGAATGGTTGGTAGAACGCGTGAAAAGGCATCCGTTTTGTCCGCGGATGAATGTTCGGCTTTCTCTCAGCCTGGCGAGGGCTCTTCTTGTGTCGATTGGGATTTCATCGCGCCTCCAGCCCTGAGATGCACGCAACAACGCAAAACGTCGTTGCCGTCGACCAAATAGGCCAAGGGCCCCGGGCACGAACAGACACAAAACCCGACCTTCCACCGGGCGTGTACGCGGCACGTGTGACCGCCGTGCTCCCTGCAGGATGAGTGAAGGGCCCTGGCGACAGCTTAACCGGACGGCGGCGGCGCTTGGACCGTCACCGCATAAATAATACACGCCTCGGGGCGGTTTCCCAGCGATTTCCGGAGTCGGGTCTGTCCTTGGAGCGCGCCATGCGTCAGACATTCATACGGCAAGTTATTCGCGTGTGTTAATGTCAATGTCGAATGGTCCATGAAGCGCTACCAGCCTGAAGAAAAGCCGTGCAGATGTTTTTTTCCAATTGGATCGATGCATAATAAGATTCTGTCCTCAGAGTGGTCGAATCACGTCTACTTTTCAATGTTGTACAGCTATGCGTCACTTCCTGTATGAGTTCACTTTTTCGAACTCTCCCGCCATGATATCACATAAAACCCTTCAGATGAATAAGATAACTTATGTGTTTCAAACGGCGCATATTTTGTTCCAGATACACGTCGGTCAGATATTTTATTCCTTCTTGCCCACAATGCTTATGTTGCTAACCCCCACCCGACTGCTGTTTCCTCCATTTACTGAGACCTCTTCCCCTTTCCGCTCACAAGCCATCGCACGCCTGTAAGTCATTCTCTCCACGGGAGTCAATCCATCCTTTTCCCACATTCCACTGCTGGTCCGTTTGTAGTACCGTTTTTTGCGAACCTTGAAAATTTCTTCCAAATTACATGTGGGCGGCACCTCGGGGAAGATGGTGTCCGGGTCCACCCAAGTGGCGGGATCGGTCGTGAATTGCCTATCCAAGGCAGCGGCTAGCGTGGTGCCGCGGGCCCAATCGGGGATCTGCGTGCATTGGAAGGAGGAGCGGGTGCGTTACATGGAGGGATAGGATGGTTGGGCCTACTGCTTTACACGACCATGACCACGTGTCTGAGCATGGACACGACATGAATCGCGAGAACGATGTCGCAAAATGATGCTTTCGTGAAACCGAGAGATTGCGCTTGTCAGCCATTCCCCCCCCCCCCTTG